TAGTTGGTCTAAATGTCTGGAATAAATTGGTTACTAGATTCCCAAGTATATTAGTATAGATCTGAAAATAGCTTTAATAGTTTATTCAAGTTTTTCATTTGCTGGTTAGATAATGAAGTGAAGAGTAATACGATGACTGTGGAAGTTCGTGATATTTTGGTTTGAGTTCATGAAGCCTTGGTTGGTATTTTATAACCAAACTGCCCATAGAATTATGGACAGTAGTTCTGACTTGAAGTGCTTTCCCCATTTATGTTGGAATATATGATTATCAGTTTCCCTCTGTAGACAGTTTGTCCGTTATTCTGACATTATGATTGGTTTAGGACACCTGAGCACTAACCTCCATTTTCATAATGTTTCTGCTTTTTAGTGATAATTGAGCACCCTGTTGCTCTGTTTTTAAATCTGTTGAGATACACTTCACATTGTTAATGTAAATATTTTATAGCCTTAGCTGAATTTCTTACAACAGCTCTTGGTCTTGACAGCTGAGATCAGCTGGCTCATGTCTCTTAATGGCACTTAGATTTGAATTTTGTAGGCTGGGAGGCAGAAAGAACTACTTGGAACTGGTCTGTTTAATGCATGGTGGCTTTAAATTCAGGTTTAAAAATGGGCCCATTTATAAAAAGAAAGTCTTAATCTCTAGAGTTCACTCTAGAGAAACACTATGGAGTTAAGAACTTGGACTTTTTTTTTTTTTTTTTAACCATCCATTGGTCCTGGTAATTTGAGGTGAAGGAAACTAATATGAACTTCACATTTTCATTTCAATTTGAATTCCAAGATTCTTTGATTCTCTAGAGCCAAAGTGTTTCACGGGTTTTCATGCGGAGGTTATGACTGGAGGGGAAGAGTGCTGCCTGTTGGTCTTGAGTGACAACCCCTGCCCTCTGCCCCAGCTGAGAACTCAAAGCATTGTTGAATAGCACTAAAATGAGCTGAGTCCAAGACTTTAGCCAGATGGTCGATATAGGGCTTTTAAAGGAAGGGAAATAGTAAAAGAGTAATCTCAGAGGAACTCTCTTATGTTAAAGAACTGAGAAAATGAAGTCTGTCTGAAGCTAAGTGTAAATTATACCACCTTCTTTGGGAGCAAAAGCTGCTAAATGTAACAGAAGAAAATGACAGTGCAGGAAATCAAAGTTCAGGAACAAACTTTCAAGTGTGGTTTTCAAATGCTTAATCCTCTCTTACTCCTCTCTCAGGATCCATTGCCTCCTTTTCCTCCCCCTCCTCCAAAGTCTGTTTGAAAGGGATTTTGATGGGTAATGGCAAAGGAAGGCAACTTTAGACAGAGTATAAATTAGGGCACAAGATGCCCTTTGTACAGGAATTATCTTAGACTTGCTTTTGAAAACATACTTTTTTTTAGTCTTATTAAGAAAATAATCAAAGGTATGATTCTTAAAGCTTTGAGTTTAGTCTGCTTTCAGTAAAAATAAGGTATAGATACCAAAATAAGCAAAGCTTTTTTTTTTTCTTTCCTGGTTTCTGCTTATAAGATTTACAGGTATTTAAAATAAACCTATGAAAAACCGAAATACTGTCCTGGGATTGACTAAATAGTCAGAGCAATTACCTCCGGGCTCCAAAATCCAACTGAGCTTGACTTTTGGAAATAAATTTGGCTAAGACTTCTTCCTCATTCTGTTCTATAAAGGTGTACATGAATGATACTGACCTTTGCCAGAAACCCCAGGAATCCTATTCAGTGATGTACTTGTAATGGTCATGAAAGAATTAAAACAACACAGATGTGAATTAATGTGAAAAAGTAGGCAAAATGCTAAATTCTCATTGTGTGGTTTCAATGTGGCAGATCCTTTAAAATACTTTGGTGTACCACAATAATTAAAGGGTTTAAGAACATTACGTTAAAATACCTAGAAAATAAAAGCCTACAGTTGAGTAACAAGAATAAACTATGTTTTATTTTTTTAAATTGGAATTAATGTAGGTTGCCATGGTGAAAATAGAATGAAATATTTAACAGTAACTGTTTTGTGCAGCACTAGAGATCAAAAACAGTAATGTAAATAAGCAGGTCTTTAAAGAATATACTCACAGACATGTTTAATGATTGCTAGAAGGGAAATGTATTTTCTTCAGTGCTATGCAAAGAAGTTTTAATTGACTTGATTTTGGCAGTAAGAATCTCCAACTTAGCATTAATAACTAAAATTTTAAAGTATTTGCTCATTGCTCTGGATTATGACTGTTCAAGAATTACTATTTTCAAACACTAATTAATCATTTTAAATAAACTCTTTTTACACATTTATGGCATCAATGAGTATGACTGTTTATTACATTTTACCTATAAAAAGTTGAACTGTTTTATATACTCTTTATGGAAACAGTGCACAGTCATAAATTAAAAGATGCAACTGTTTTGGATATTTTACTGGTGGTCCTGTGTTTTCCTGCCAGCCATGCAGCTGTTTCAGGTTTCTCAGGATAACATATAAAAAGCTGTATGTACACTGCAACTTTATGCTTGAATTGCCAAGCCAGAGATGGTATGACTCAACTTTCCCAGAAGCAAGTTGTACCAAAATGTGATGAATCAAAACAACTAGTTGCATAGTGGTTTGCATTACAGCTATGAAAGCCAATTCTGTTTATGATAGTTGGCTTCTTAAGGTTGACAGACATTCTACTGTGGTACCTGATTTTTGCCATGAATGAAGAGCCATTGGAGCTAAGACTGTGCTTTTCTTTTGAGGGTCTGAGGAAAGGAAAAATAGAGCGGTATCTGGTGTATGGATAAAATTTACTTGGAAACTTATATTAGGAATGGAATGTTTCATTTCTAAGATACTTGTAAAAATACTACTAAATATTACTTGTTTGTGTGATAGTGAGTTCTCAGGGAAGAGAAATCGATTTTATTTTGTTCCAGATTGATTTTTAGACTTGTGAGATGACTTAATTTACATCATTTCTCATGCATCATAATCTTAACAGTGGACATTTTATTGTGTCCTGGGATGTAATAAGCAGATACTTTTTCTGGCTATGTGGTAGATTTGGTGAATCCCTGTTTAAGTCCCATGGGACCTAAGGTTCTATCAAGAGTTTGACAATGAAAGTGGGATGCATCCCGTCAAGATTTATAAGATGGGATGTAGGGAGAAAATATTAGAACTTTTGTTGAAATAGCTTTATCTCCTCCTTTAAATATTTATATATATTTTATAATATGCTTCTATATTAGTATATTATGTATAATTATATACTATATAACTATGTATTAATACAATAGGTATATGATTTATAAATAAGTACACAAATTTTAGAGATACATGCTCAAGTATTTTTACTGCTATACGTACAGTACCAAAAGTCTGTAGGGGTGCTTGGGTGGCTTAGTTAAGCGTCTGACTCTTGACCTCAGCTCAGGTCTTGATCTCAGGGTCATGAGTTTGAGCCCTGCACTGGGCTTCACGCTGGGCATAGAGCCTACTTTTTAAAAAAAAGTTTTAGATCATTGCTCAATAAATATTAATTTCCTTTCTCCTTCCACTTTCCCCTTTCACCGTTGGCAGAGAAGCAAAGAATTGAGTTAACACCTTGATTTGTGGTAGTGTGAATAAATTATAGCTAATTCCAGGAGCTTATCCTGTGTCTTACTTTGACCACTTTTTCTATTGGCCTTTTATATTGCCATATATTTTTTAATCACACAACCTTATTAAACATGGATACAAATGAAAAACAGACTTGTTATTATGTTAGAAATAATAAGTTGCTCATGCATCAAGACTTTGACACACAGGAAGTTTGAATGAATGAGTAGAAAAGTTTCCAAGTTATTAAAATGTTCTGGTACCTGATTTATTCATTTGCTTTAACCGTAATTCTAAGGCGAATGAAGCTCCTTTACTTCCTGAGGCCTGAAGAAACAATGTGGTTTCTTAAACTAGACATTAAAGCAAGGCTGGAAATACTTGTTTTCCAACAGTGCTGTTAGTCATGCTAACAAGTTGACATTCTTTGGCTAGGATTATCCCATATTTTAGGTCTGTTTGTTTACCTTTATCAAAGTAGAAAGTTTTAATTGCTAAATAATATATGTGTGATTGAAGAAAAATGGTGTCTGTTACACTGTCTTTTGAGATCAGTTCAAAAGACTTCTGTATTTACTAATTGGGACATTCTGTTGAACTCAGGCTGTCGGAGATTTCTTGGGCATGTAATTGTCTAAGGTTTCACTTCCTGCATGGAAGGAGACAATATATTTTTGTAATGCTGAAGTAAATTTGAAGTAACTAGTATAGTCTCTCCTCTCCCCTCCTCCATTTAATATTTATTTCAGAATATATTTATGTAAAATAGTCAATATTTATGTAAAAATATTAATAATACAATAGTATTATGATACCATATATTTATTTATTTAAGAGTATGCCAGGACAGGGCGCCTGGGTGGCTCAGTCGTTAAGCGTCTGCCTTCAGCTCAGGTCATGATCCCAGAGTCCTGGGATCGAGCCCCACATCGGGCTCCCTGCTTGGTGGGAAGCCTGCTTCTCCCTCTTCCACTCCCCCTGCTTGTGTTCCTGCTCTCCCTATCTCTCTCTCTCTCTGTCAAATAAAAAAAGAAAATCTCTAAAAAAAAAAAAAAAAAAAAAAGAGTATGCCAGGAGGACAATAGCAGTTAGGTACCCAAACAACAGCCAACAAAACAAGTTCTGAAAATTGGGAACAGTGAACATTTTAATAGCAAGTATTATTTTTGAAACCTCCTTGAGAGCTCTTTTTAGATCTTAATGTAATTTGCTTTATAATTTAGTTTAACAATTGAACTGGTTTAGGCACTCTATATATAGTTGGTATGTTTCTTTTTAAAGGGTAATAATGCATTTATAAAGTCTGAACATTTCAATCTCAGAATTCCCCTTTAAAACGTGAATCAGTTTTATTATTGCTTTTAAAAATGTTACCAATTTATATATGCTTTCTATATCAATGCTACACTTTTTGTTTTTTTTTAGGTATTTAAACCATGTCAGAGCTGCCTCTCCACAGGACCTTGCTGGAGGCTATACTTCTTCTCTTGCTTGTCACAGAGCACTACAGGATGCATTCAGTGGGCTTTTCTGGCAGCCCAGTTAACCTTTATTTCTCCTTTATAAGATTTGGACCTAGGAGCCGAACCAGAGAGCTAGCAAAAGTAAAGCAGACGTGTAAAAGTAGAGCCCTGTGCAGCTGCCCGGCAACAGTACTACCGCTAGCAGCGGTGTGAAAGTATTTATGAGAAAATTTCAGAACTAAGCTGAGTAATATAGTGGATGAATATATGTGAAAAAGATTTATTTTTTACTTGTATTTTTCTGAGAGGGATTGAAGCTGTAAACTTCACCTGATGGAAGATATGAATAATTCACCTGTGTATGCTTGAGGTTGACAGACTTGTAAAATCTTTTTAAAAATAAAGCTAGACTTTATATTAAGTTTTGTGGTTTTTCTCTTATTACAGTGTTTTACTTGAACACATTTTAAAATGCCATTTTGAACACGACATTTAGTGTTAATATCCAAGTCTATTATTTCGTCTCATAAAATGTTCCTTTTTTTCCCCCTATGTTCTTAATACTAGTCCAGACAAGTGGATATATTTCCTTCTACCAGCAGGTTGTGGCAAGTAAAACTTGACCTATGATAATGCCACTCTCTCAATATGAAGGACTCAGTGCCTGTTTTGAGCAGTGGAAAGTGAGACAAACCTTGATCAAGGTATTATAGTTCCCAGCTGTGAGCCACACTTAGGATAAACCAGACGAGAGTATTAACCTGCTTTAATGACAAATTCAAAGAAGTAAGTTAATAAAATTTAATGCTTAAATGGCACCTTTCACTTCAAATGTGAGCTCATTTTATGATGAAACCTTGGAGACTGGAATGGATACATTTTAAACAAAATTTTTCTGAGTAAATTGCAGACTGATATAGTTTCTGTTGAAACTTCAAAGACTTTTAGTATACCCAGGATTTTGCTTAGAGTTGGATGTGGAGAGGATGGATATTTGTAGCATCTCAACCTTATATGAGTCTGTTACATAGACCACCATGTATGAGACATAGTTTCTCAAGGAAATTAAAGGATTTCCTATCAAATGTCCATTATAACAGATGTTAATTTTATGGGAGGGAAGTTATGTGAAACAAAGTTTGTGGTTACATTAGGGTGGAATATCCACAGGTAACAGCTCCAGCTTATTTGCTTAAGCAGGTATTAATTTCAGATACATCTTCATCTTTACAATATAGATGACCCTTGAACAGCACAAGTTTAAACTGTATGAATCCACTTGTATGTGGATTTTTTTTTAATTTACCTTGTTTTTGTTTTTTTTTAAAGATTTTATTTCTTTATTAGAGAGCGAGAGAGAGAAACAGCATGAGAGCGGAGAGGGTCAGAGGCAGACTCCCCTCTAAGCTGGGAGCCCTCGATCCCGGGACTCTGGGATCATGACCCGAGCCGAAGGCAGTCGTTTAACCAACTGAGCCACCCAGGTGCCCTTTAAAGATTTTATCTATTAGAGAGAGAGAGAGAAAGCACAAGCAGTGGGAGTGGCAGGCAGAGGGAGAAGCAGGCTCCTCGCTGAGCAAGGAGCTCAATGCGGGACTCGATCCCAGGACCCTGGGATCATGACCTGAGCCGAAGGCAGCCGTTTAACAGACTGAGCCACCCAGGCATCCCTGTGGATTTTTTTTGTACAGTACCGTAAATGTATTTTCTCTTCCTTATTATTTTAACATTTTCTTTTTCCTAGCTTACCTTATTGTAAGTATACAGTGTATCATATGACATACAAAATATGTATAATTGATTATTATGTTTGTGTTAAGGCTTCTTCTGGTCAACAGTAGGCTATTAGTAGTTATGTTTTGGGGGAGTCAAAAGTTGTATGTGGATTTTCCAGTGTGTGTTTGGGGGTGGGTGGTCAGTGTCCCTAACCCCTGTGTTAGTTAGAAGTATAGTTGACCCCTGAACAGTCTTTCATAACTAAGAAAACCAAGGCATCAAATAATTGAGTAGGCTCAGATCATATACACAAGTTAGTAAAAAGTCAGAATTAAAATTGTTTGCTTTTTGTTTTTAAGTCTAGTTCTGTCTGTACTTCACAGGCTGCCTTCTATTTTTCGTATCTATTAGCATTCCCCAATTGAGGAGTGGGATTTTAAGTACAGTCTATAAATCTGTTCAAAGAATAGTGAGAACGTTGACTTAAAGTTAGGACTTTGCTGTACTCAGCTGCTGAAGTACAGTATCCAGCCTTTACAAAAGAAATACTATTACTTGTTCTCAGTACCTTGTATAATGTATTTAAATGAATGAACTAATTAATAGAACACTTTAAAGTCTTTCAAAACGTTTTTCGAGCCTACCTCATTATTGTGGAAATTGCCTGCATCTGATTTGGCAAATAAATTGAATTCCAAAACCTTTATACATTTGTAAATATTTTGTTCTTACTATTGCTGTGCTTTGTTCAATAGGCCAAATAAGAAGTTGTTAACTGACCTTATTAGAGCGAAGGGAATGGTGAAAGGTAACTTAATGACAATTCACTAAATAACAGAAATACTCTAAATTGATGAGGTTATCCCCATCCCCCTAGTGATTTCCTCTATCAGAGACAAAAGGCTGTACAAGCCTTTCATAGACATCAATTAAGTCTTTTAACATCGTACAATACTAGCCCAGAAACAATAGCTAACAACTACTGAGCATTACCTAAGCACCAAGCACTGTGCTTCATGTATTGTGTATTATTACCTAATCTTTACAATGCTAGTATTATTTTCCCTATTTTAGCAGATGGAGAAGCTGAGGCATAGGGAGGTTAACTAACTTGCAGAAGGTCAATACAACTTAAAAGTAGCAGAGTGGATTTGAACCCAAGTGGTCAGAATCCATGCTCCAGAGTTGAATATCAAACTGTCAAGCTAATAAACAACAGGCTGTGTAGAACCAAGTCTGAGTAATCAAACTTCTTAAGATTTCCAGGAAGTTTTACAGATCAAGTGTCTAGTTATTTTATGGCATATAAATGACATCAACTTAATAACCTTATTTATATCCTTGAGAGAAGTTCTGAGAAATTCATTATGTAGAACATCATTTAACTATTAACTACCTTCCTTTTAAACAGATATTAATGGTATCGAATACATTTACATCATAGTTGGAATGCACTATTAGTATTCCTTAATTTCATTCAATAAATATTTGACCTAAGCTTCTTATCTTTAGGCTGTCAACTGGTGGTAATTATTTCAAAATCCAATTAAGGTGACAGAAAACTTGTCAAAAAGCTAAGAAACTTAAAAAATTGTATCCAGTGAGCTTTATAGCTGTCATTTAATAGTGGACATCAAGAGTTCAGTTACCAGGTATCACGTTTAAAACTTTAGGGTGGGCCTAGATTTAAATAATGAAATAACTCCATACATTCACTTATCCACTCTGAGGGAAAAGGGGGAGGAGTTAAAATGTTAATAGAGGCTGCATATTTGACTAAATAGAGGCAAGAATCTTACCACTTTCCATGAATAAAAACATCATTTGTACCCATATTTAATAATTATAACCTAGCATATCAATGTACAGTACTAGGAAAAAATTCTTACTCCTACCTGCAAATTAAAATTCTCTTCACCTAGATCAGGCCAACTGTAGACCCCTGGCCAAATCCAACTGCTGCCTGTTTCTGTATGCTTCATGAGCTAAGATTGATGTCTACATTTTTTTAAGGTTGAAAAAAGCCAAATCATATACTTTTTAACAAGTGAAAAGCATATGACATTCAAATTTCAGTGCCCATAAAGTTGTTTTGGCATACAGTGTTTCTGTATTGTTTATGGCTGCTCTGGGGGGCTACTACAACAGAGTTGAGCAGCAAAAAGAGACCTTATGACTTGCAAAGCCTAAAATACTGCCTGGTCCTTTACTGAAAGCTTTCCGACCCTTCACCTACATACTCCTCACTTGGAAGGGAGGGAGGAGAAGAAAATTAGAAGTCCCAAACTGGCAATCCCTGGCTGAATTAACCCCCAAGGTCTTGCAGAGAGGAAGTTTGGTTGAGTTTCAAAAATCATTTTTAAGTGCCTTTAGATAAGGAATGAGGGCTCCAATTCATTACTTTCCTACACTTCTTACCATTTATTGCCTTCATCTATTTATATTACCTGCCTCGCTTCTGAAGGCATTTGAGTTTGTAATGACTTAGATAAGTGGTCCTCAAACTTTTTCTGTAGGGCCAGACAGTAAATATTTTAGGCTTTGTGGTAAAATAAGTTGGTACAATATTTTAATGAACAAAATTCAAAATATAATTGGTTATATATAATTGCATTGTTTGTAACTCCTTTTTGGGGGAATAACACTGGTCCTTTAATTGGGGTTCTAAGTGTTTCCTATCATCAAAATCAGTTGTAAATGATTACCTGTTAATGGTTATCTATAATGAGATTTTACAAATTTCATCTCTAAAAATGTCTTTTCACACAGATAGATACTGCCAGAATACTGGCATCAGTCTAGAAGTGTAAGATTTTTTTTTTTTTTTAAGATTTTATTTATTTGACAGAGAGAGACACAGCGAGAGAGGGAACACAAGCAGGGGGAGTGGGAGAGGGAGAAGCAGGCTCCCCGCAGAGCAGGGAGCCCGATGCGGGACTTGATCCCAGGACCGTGGGATCATGACCTGAGCTGAAGGCAGTCGCTTAACCAACTGAGCCACCCAGGCGCCCTAGAAGTGTAAGATTTTAACTGGGCATATTCATCACTTAGAAGGCATTTGTAAAACCCTATTAGATTCTTCCCTTGGTATTTGCATTACATAGTACATTAATCACTTCCAATTGCAGGTAGAAGCTCAATTATAGGTAAATGGATTTTGAGATATGTAAATTTCCTTTTATTTGCATTTTCACCAAGGTCCCAAAAATGTTGAACACAGAAAATGTATCCACTGCTAATTTGAGGGAAATCTTGTTTCTTAATTTTCGATAGCATGAGAAATGTGTAACACAAGATACTGCGATTCAAATGTCAGTTGTTGAAATGATGACCACAGTTTCACAATGAAGTTATGTTTGCCTAATAATTATAGGTTAAAATCTTTAAGAATTACTCTCAAGTCATTAGCAAAAGCTAATTTCCAGAGCCTTTCAGTGTTCTAGAATAATGTTTAAGAGTAGTTCCTCTTGTTAAGAAAAATTTCAGTCTTGACCCTGAGCTCAAAAAATTGCAATCAAACTTCACAATTGCTAAGCAAATCGAATTTAGGTTGAGCAATTTCTGACAGAATTCAATCATGGTTAGAATCCATGAAAGCAAATGAAATTTACCATTAACACTACTGGTTCAGTAACACATGACAGATTCAAATATCTTCTGCAGGGTACTTGCTGGTGAATAATAGAGTGAATAACCACAGGTTTT